GGCTGGCCGGCTGGCCGGCAGGGCCTTCGCGCACGCCTGGGGGCCGGTCTGCGTGTCCCGCCCTGAGGCAGGGGCAGCTGTGTCCAGCAGGGCCGACCCCCGGGGGCATCCTGGACTCGGCTGAGCCTGAGGGCAGACGGGCAGACACAGGCCCTCCGCCTGTGGCCGCCACACGGTGACCGGGCTGCCGCGGGGCGGGGCCCGGCAGGGGGACGGGGCAGCCGGAGCGTGGGCCTCACCTGCGCGGCCGGCGCCCCAGGTCCTGGTCCGGCGGCTCAGTGACGGCACAGAGCTGCGGGGCCGCGTGGTGGAGACCGAGGCCTACCTGGGGCCGGAGGACGAGGCTGCCCACTCACGGGGCGGCCGGCAGACCGCCCGCAACCGAGGCATGTTCATGAGGCCGGGGACCCTGTACGTGTACCTCGTCTACGGCATGTACTTCTGCCTGAACGTGTCCAGCCGAGGTGAGTGGCTGCTGGCGGCTGGCCCGGTGGTCCTCGGGCGACAGCCAGCTGTGGCGAGGGGGAGCCCTGGAATCTGCAGGGAGGGGGTGCTGCTGGACACTGCACGGGACGGCTGCCTGCGGGGCCCCGTGGGCCGGCCTGTGGCCTCCCCTGCGTCCCGGGGTGCCTGCCGGGGGCAAGCGCCGCTGACGGAGCCCCGTGATGGGGGTGCCGCGTGGACGGCGGGCGCGGCGGCTGAGCCCACCTAGCACAGCGGCGTCGAGGGGCACACCGGGGGCTCTGGCCGCCCACAGAGGTGGGGCCCTTCCAGAACCTGGGAGCAGCTGGGGGCTAGGTGGGGGGGCGGGATGCTGCTCAGGGCTGGTGACCGACACCCCAGCGCTGGGATGCACGGGCAGCCGGGGCGGCCCTGGACGGTGCAGGATGGACGGCCTCAACGTTGGTGAGGGTGCGACCTTGTGCCCAGCGAGCAGCGGCCCCTCTGGCCAGGGCAGGCTTCTGGGAGACCGAGGGGGGGGGTCGCCGTGTGAGACCCTCACAAGGACGGCACTCGGGGTCCATCCGGGCTGTCCACTGTCCACAGGGGCCGGGGCGTGTGTCCTCCTGCGAGCGCTGGAGCCCCTGCAGGGTCAGGAGGCCATGCGGCAGCTGCGCAGCGCCCTCCGGAGAGGCTCGGCCGGCCGGACCCTCAAGGACCGCGAGCTCTGCAGCGGCCCCTCCAAGCTGTGCCAGGCCCTGGCCATCGACAGGGGCTTCGACCAGCGCGACCTGGCTGAGGACGAGGCTGTGTGGCTGGAGCGAGGCCCCCCGGAGCCCGGAGAGCAGGCCGTGGTGGCCGCGCCCCGGGTGGGCATCGGCCAGGCGGGGGAGTGGGCCCTGAAGCCCCTGCGCTTCTACGTCCGGGGCAGCCCCTGGGTCAGCGTGGTGGACAGAGCAGCCGAGCAGGACGAGCAGGCCTGAGCCAGGGCCGGGCGAGGCTTTTAATTCTGTGGAACCAAATAAACGCCCCGTTTCTCAGCCTCGGGTCTCGGCCTGAGCCCGCCGTGGTCAGCGCGTTCCCAGTCAGCTCCTCCTCCAGGACGGCGTGGTCCCCGTCCCCGGGGGTGCCCACAGGCTGGGGTGGGGGCCCCGCCACGCAGGCGGCTCAGGGCAGCAGGGCCTGGAAGACGGCGATGACGGGGTCCTCGTGGGCGGCCACCACCAGCACGCTGCGGAACTTGTCGCACAGCGCGAGCAGCTGGGAGCGCCGCGTGTTCTCGTGGTACATGATCTCCTCCAGGTGGTGGCGGCCGCGGAAGTAG